AACACAGACAGCACTTGTGGAAAATTAATTTAATTTAATTTCCTTACAACCAGTTGCTTTTAACTCATGCAAACCTTCCTCAACACAGCATCTACCTTTTAAAAATCTCTCCTGTTTCATTTTCTCTGTTTCTGTACTGTTTGCATCTGACAAGAACACGAAAGTTAAAATTCACTGACGGGAAAAAAGCGAAAAAAAAAAAAGGAAATCTTGAAGCCAAATATCTTATGACATGAAAGTGTTGGATTTTACTAGCCTTCCCGAGTCTCAGATGTCATAAACCATACAGGTGCAACTATCTCATTGCTCTGCGCCCATGTGAACCTTGTTATGTTAAAGTGAACACAAATCCAACTAATACTTCCAGGTTTATAATAAACCTTCACAAAGAAACTGTCCATATTTTCCCCATATGCAGTCACAGCTGTGCAAAGGCACATCTGCTCGGGAAACTAACGTGAAGCTTTGAATTTATAGTTTAAGATCCTTAAGCTTGATGGCAAATTATGATAAAACTAGGAATATCAGTTCTTCTCTCCAACAGAAAATATAAATCCCTCTTTGATTGATATTGATGACAGGAAGGAAACAAAGCGCTTCTATTTCCCCGTGTCACAAGAAACTCCTTCATTGCAATAAACATCCAGTTGATAGAACAACTTGGGAAGGTAAATGATATAATATTTGTAAGCAAACTGAGAAAAGAGCAAGTGCCGATTGGCCATACAGTTCATGCATCCATGTAGCTTCTAACACACCACAGCAGGCTATGAGTTTGTCAGATTCATAAACTAAAAAGATTGCATCTATTAAGGCATGTCAAATGTGATTGCTATTCATTATTATCCTGCACCCTTTATTCAAATATCCAGTCCATACATGCAAGTCCAGCTCAACCAAAGTAAACAAATTCATTGATTTAACAATTTATGGCTTGATTTTAAAAGAGGCTGAGCCTGCAGGGGAGTATCTAACATATGTTTGAAGTTAAGCACAAGCCAACAGTGAAATTAGTGGTATTGCTCACATGCTTAAAATCAAGCATAAACTTCAACATGTTCATAGTTCACGGTTGCCATAGCAAGTCCTGAGTGTGACCAGAACACCCGTACGATGCACCCCGACTTTGCCCAGGGGAAGTTAGAGCTGTGGCTGCTCTGTGCCGTTGCCATACCTCGTTACCAGCAATATTGCCCTGACACCTCGCAACCCCGACCAAAAGCCTGGCTTTCCTTCCTGAACGGCACTGGCCAAACTTGGGAGGAAATGAGTGAGAAGACTGATGTGGCCCCAAATGGCTCCAGAGCACTTACTCAGCCGTTATTTTACATTACCCTTTGAAAAGTGAAGGAAAAGCCCTTCACCCTCCACCACAGAATAAGGGTTCAGCTCATCCGCTTTCCAGGTCGGCAAAGGGCCAAATTTGGTTACTTCCATCACCATCAGCTTGGATTTCGTTCACTGATTTCAGCAGGGTGACCTCCCACCTCACAAGCACAGCTAGGACCAGAACTGGACTCTTTAGAGCAACAGAAATGATACCTCAAAATACAAAATTTTGTTTCCGTAGCGACATCAGCCCAAATCACAAGGGAGCTCCTTCCTAAACTCATTCATCCTTTCTCTATAAAATTACAAAGCTGATAAACATGTCCTCTCTATATCTACAGCTTTATAGAGGCCAAACTTTTTCTTGAAATCATCCCCACTACTATGTAACTATCTTGCCCTCCTTATCACACGGCTACTACAGCTAGCACAGGTCTCCCCGTGGTGGTGCACATCCAGGACAAAAAGAAGGCAGCGTTACCACAGGTGACAAGCAGAACTGCACGCAAGGTGGGACACGGCGTCAGCAAGTTATATATAAACCACGCGCGAGATTGAAATGGATGTACTGAGTGCTTGAATTACACACAGGTGAAATTCTCTGACCTAAATTTAAATGGGCTTAAAATTAGAAGTTCTACCACATAACCAGAGGACAGGAAAGAAGAAAAAAAAAAAAAAGAGTAAAATTGCTAAAGAAAAAGCACGTGCATGAAAGACACTCCTAGCAAAAGGCAGCTGTTAACCCTAGGGAAACTCCAGTTTAACATCCATACCTTCCTGATCCAACTCCCATTGAGGTTAATGGCGGTTGTTTTGCCTTTCTTTAAGCCTCAAGTGAATGCGTAGGAACCGTGTACAGTATGGACCGGAGAGGAGCCAAGGTCAGATAGAGCCAGAAACACGGGCAGCAGCTCTGCTCCGTGGGAACCGGGGGAGCACGGCTCCAAAACCCTCGCTCACCGCAGGCAGGAGGACTTGGTACCGCAGATCTAATGCCATCGGATGGCTATTTTAAATCTGAGTTTAGTAGGTCACTGAGCTACGCCGAGTTTGAAAGCCAGGCTTGATGTTTGTACATTTGGAACCTCCCAAAAAGCCCAGGCTGACACAGACGAGTCTGTTCTCAAGATAACATGGGCTCATCTGGAATTCAGGACATCTGGACAGCTTCTGACAGAGCTGGGTCACAGCAGGTTTAACATACAGCCCAGAAAAGGTGGCAAGTATTTTGCCTAAGTTTCTGAGTTTTCACAAGCTAATCCAAACCAACCTTACAAACATCTCCGACTTCATCACAGTTCAACTTCAGACCCTTTACGCACACCTACAAGCACACCCAGGTCCACATGGTCCTCCTCTTTCAGGATCGGCCCCCAACAAGACTTTAAAAAATGAACTGCCGCCCCGCTTTTCCTCTGCGGAGTTGTTCTCCAGCCCCTTACCTGGACGACGGGGTGGCCTCCAGTCGGCGCCTTGACGGCCCCTCGGCTTCCCTCCGTCTCGTAGTGTGCCCGGTGGTGGGGCTTA